GTCCACACAGGAGAGAAACCGTTTCCTTGTGAACTTTGTGGACAAAGGTTTAGTTGGAAGAAAAGTTTAAACAGCCACATGAGAGTCCACACGGGAGTGAAAACTTTCAGACTGAATATATTAAAATAACTATTATAGGACATGAGATGCAACTGGTACCTTAACACTCAAATATAATTTGTTTGGATTTTGTAAAAGATATTCTGTTACAATTTTCAACAAGTTCCCAATCTATGATTTGCTCCTAGTTTCTAGAGGATACTTTAAAAACAAGCTAATTAAACCTGAGATCATAATTTGGACTATAGATGTTGGTTCTAAAATACTGGTTCAGTGGTTGTGCAATATGTGGAGAGAACCAACCAACCAATCAAATTACTTGTTTTTTCAAATGGTCAGATGTCATGAAATGTTATTTGTGTTAATTCCTGAGAGAATTGTGATTTAATCAGTTAGTTACTTGGTTAATTAACAGGTCTCTCATGCAGATACACTAATTGTGTTTTAATGAGCCTAACCTATATATTTTTTTTTATAAATTACTACAATGTCATTCCTATAAGCTGAATAATGTTTATATGATATAAATTATATGAAACGATGTCAGAATTGCCCAGGTTAAACTCCAACTTTACTGTAGTATTAGGCTACTTTTATACATGAAGCTAAAATTACCTGACACCATCCTGCACCCAACTCAAGTGGAGTTTGTTTGCTCCCAGTGAGTTGCCACAAACTCAAAAACCCAGTACAGGATTTGTCCCATGACCTATTAAAGACCCACAAGAGGTCACACAGAACTAAAGTGTTCAGTTCTCAGGTTTGATGTTAAATAGTCTGTGAGGTGTGGAGGTTTGTGGTCCGTTACCACGGTTACTGTCCACATCTGTAGGTTGTGTATTCTGAATGCTGTTTATGCTTTTGTCGGGAAACATGTATGTGTGTGTGATACTTCATTATATAATGATCCTTGTGTGAGCCATCTTATCTTATTCTGTGTCATTTAATCTGAATGGTATGTTATTCTAATGCTTTGGTATCACTGTGAAATGAAAGTGCCAGTAACAGCTGGCTAGATGCTGATCACGCCCCTCCTCCTCCACTGTAAGGAACCTTGAGGATGTTTTCTTTTATGTGAGACTGTTCTTTATAGAAGCTGTTAGTGCTGTCATTTCTAACCCGAACCCAAAACCCGGACCGACCCAGATTAGGGCCGGGCCGTTATAATGTGAGTAATGGGTGGGCCGGGCTGGTCTTGGGCTTTTAATTGGGTCAGGATCAGTCGCGATCCAATTATATGATAACATGGCTTGTCATACTTCCCACCAGCTGCACGCGACCATTTCACCGCGAGCTGACTGGCCTTAAAATAGGTAAAAAATTCAGTTAAGCTTCAGATGGGACTATACTGTCAGGCAGCGATCCACCGACCAAATGGATGTTCATTCAGCCGCTGCACTCAGCGGACGAGCGCGGTCGACGACCCAAACCGGTGAGATTCCAAAGCAGACATGTCAGAGCAGGGTCCGTGAATAAATCAGAATCAGGCAGAAACAGGGTTTAAATGCTTTTAATGGCCATGAAAGGACAAATACCCTCTCAGCTCTGAATCTTATGCACCTTATTCAGCTGCGAGTCCCCGATGACAGGTGTATCTCAAAGCAGACGCGTGTGTCAGAGCTGTCTGCGTGTCTCAGTAATTCACAGGAATGCAGGCAGAAATGGGTTTTAAATGCTTTTTTTATACCCATGAAAGTACACCCTCTCAGCTTCGAATCTTCTGCCGCTTTTATTCAGCTGCGCGTCCCCAACCATTAGTAACTAATTAAAAATGTCTGGGGGATTTTCCGGGTTTGGACCTGTAATTACTGTTAATTCGTCTGGTCGGGTGGGGTTCGGAAATTTGGACTGGGGCCTGGTCGGATCAGAAATTTTGGGCCCGAATGCTTTTCTAGTAGTTGTCAGGGTTTGTTTCTGTAAACACTAGGACAAGACTAGGATCAGAACCAAGGCAGAGCAAGCATTGGGAGTTTTGTGTACTTGTAATGCGTCGACTTTCTGTATTCTGACTGTTCCTCCAAAGCTTTGTGTTATTAGATTTGATGAAATCTACACCTGATCGTTTGAGAATCAGTTTTTTCTGACAGCTTAAATTTTTAAACCTATTCCCTGTATACCAAATTGACCTTAAAAAGTAAGTTTACTTTATCTTAACCAGTCATTTTTACTTTGTTTATGTACATATCCCTGATTTATCTTTGTTCTTTTGCATTATAATGGAAAAAAAGCACGACTCAAAATCCACCACAGAGCTCGTCAGTAGTTGCAGCTTTTATCTGAATGATACAAATTGAAAGGGTAACTGTGCTGTTGCAGACAAATAACTGTTGGAAATTATAATCAAAGTGTTGTCACCCTGATACACTTTATTTTCTGACAATAGTCTGATGTCTTAATATTTTTTTTGTTAATGTGATTAAAATGTTTTATAAATGTTGTTTTTTCAATAGACTAACAAAAGTTATTTTACATTTTATTAGTTGGTGTAAAATAATAAAAATAAAGGCAGATTTTTTTTAGATGAAATTGTTATCCAAGAAAGTATCTTTTTATTGTTTTGCAGGCTTTAAAATAACAACAACCTCTTTCTCAATAATGACATACCAATCGGATAAAATGCTATATTAGCTAATATTAAACATCTACACTTTTACACAACATTGTTGTTTAGTTTGTCTCTGTTTTCTAAACTGAACATGTTCCTGCATAAAAACTGTGACAAACTAAACTAGTGGTGTCATGCAAATGTGTGGATTAGTAGCTCATGTAGCGTTCTTTCACAGCAGAATGTTGTTGACAAGGAGTTGTTTTATTAACAATCACATTGACTGGCTTGCAACAAATGTTGGTAGAGAATGAGATGCCATCCCACAGCAGTGTGTGACCAAGCTGGTGAGCAGCATGAAGAGGTGCCAGGCTGTTGTGGCTGTGTATGGTTCTTCCACATGCTTCTGAGGCTCCAGTTTGTTCAATGAGTAAATGAAGTTGTCAACATATTTTGTTTCTTAAGACTTATTTGTTGAATCCAGTAAACGACACCAAACAAGAGTCAGCAGCAGAATAAGATGTTTGGTTTTGTCAGAGAAGATTTGACAAGTTTTACATGAGCATCATCCTCATTTAGTTCATCTCCTAAAATGACAAATTCATCCAAAAGTTCTACTGTTCAAAATATTTCTGTGATAATTCAATCATGTTTCAATCATTTTACAACAAGCTGTTTGGTTTAATACCACTGTAAATCAATGTTGAAAGATTATTATCAAATTTCATACTTGATGATGTAAAAGCTTTTGTTTTATTTTGCTGTATTTCTTTATTTAATTTTACTTTTGATTACAATAAATCTTATGATTGTGGAATAGTTTGCATCCTGGTAATAATTTGAGTGGAATGCACTGATTTATTTTCAATAGAACAAAACATCTTCATTTTAATTTGAGACCTAATTTTGAGAATCTTCCATCAATTGACATCAAATTGCTGGTGTCCTGCTACAAGTCCAAATTCTTAGTTTCCATGTGTTCAAATGCTCCATAAATCACCAGAAATGGACCTGAAACGGACCTTTAGATGACACTTGAACAAACATTTAGTGACCACCATCATCATCAAGAATCAATTTAGATTCTATTCTGTAAGACCCATGACATTTCATTGTTTCACTTCAATTAGTTTTTGCTGTCTAGTTTAAGGGGAAACAAAGATCTCTTCTCCTCTCCCCTGCCCAGATAGTTTGCTTGGAAGGAACACACG